TTTGAGTTTTTCATCATTAACTCTTTCATGCTATAACTTTGACATTAGTAAGCAAATGTTAAATTTGGCAGATTATCAGTAAACATTATAATGTTTTCATATGAAAAATATCTAATTTTTTTATTAAGTCTTAAGGTGTGTAAAGCAATGTTTTTCTTGTGTCTTTTTTTTTCTTTTCACATGTTACCTATCTATCATGCAAAGTAATTTTTGTTTTAAGATTAAAAATACTTTTATGCATCAGAAAATTTTCAAATTTCACATGCAAAAACTTTATATTTTATCCATTATTTTCAGTAATTAATCTCTGTTTGGGTTTGGTAGATTTGACCAATCTCCCAACCAACATAAAATTTTGGGAATAAATATCAGTTATGCCTCTTTCATTCAAGAATGAACACAAATTATAACATGAAAACATAAATGTTTAGACTAAATAGATTGATTTTCATAACATTACAGATTTATATATATTTATTATTTTAATTATATTGACCTTTCAGCCATGCCTGGCTAACAATAGAGAAGTTACAATGACATGGCACACGTGCACTCATGTTACCGTATCAAACAACATAAAACTGAATTTTGATCAGTACAGAGTAACTTGTCTTGGCTGTGTTTTAGTAGACTAGTACTTTGAAAAATAGTCAATTATTATAATTTAAATTATTATACATTACATATGTATATAGATTATTGCTATTTAGAAATAAGTTCTTAAACTTATTTTTCTTAAAGCATAAAAAAGTAAATAAAAGAAGTAAAACAAACAATTATCTCTTCTAGTTACAACCTGTGTGCTCAGTTGCTGTTTGATGTAAGTTGCTAAGCCTTTCAAAATTTTGCACGTGGAGGACATGAAAGGTTTTATATATGCATTTGAATAACTAAAAAATAATACCTTAAAACATCAATACCATAGAATTCCACTCTGAAATTTTGAGCATACTCTACCTCCTTGAAATCTTGGTTCCAAAAAATAAATGGTGTCCTAAGAATTTGAAATGGCTGAGGAAGGCACTAGGGGGACATTCTGAGCTTCTCATTGGTTATTCATGTTATGTATAGAAGTAAGTGAATATAAGGGAGTGTTTGATTTATTACATGAGCAATATCTTAGCAAATAGAAAAGATAAGACCTTATTTTATATTCTAGCCTGTCAATATCGGTAATTTGAGTTTCTAATTTGAACCAGTGCTGCATTCAATATACCACGTAATACACAAACATTGATGTTTATCTGTGTTTACTTTTAAATTAGAAATTGAGTAATGTATAGTTCTAAAATTTGAATTATAATCTACAGTTTGATACCAAACTTATTGACATAAATTAATGAAATAGTAGTTCAATAAAAATTTGAATGTGAATCAACAAATGAGATGACACAGCCTTTCACCTGTGACCCGTCTCGAGTGGGTTAATTGGAAATTTTCTATTCTATAAAGATTATCAATTTATGTCAATAAGTATAATTAGGCTGCATTCTATTGGTTATTTTGGTATTTGATGTCGAAAACATGAATTTGTGACGAATTTGTAATCTTGTTCTACACCATCACCTCAGAATGAGGCTAAAATGACCCAAAATTCACCACATTCCCATCTTGCATGTGACTTATTGGCTGATTTGGAAGCTTCTTTAATTGAGACCTTATTGCCTATTTGACCATGAAACTCCTCTGATGCTTTGTTGGCACTTAGTGATTAACATATTTGGATCAAACAATGGATTTAGAAAGGATTTGTTGCATACTTTACTCGTGTATGTAGTCATAATCAGCAACAAATGTATCTGGGTCCAAATGGGTGTACGAGGATTTAACCAGAGCTTTGTTGGCTGTGATTGAACAACATATTTGGGCTGACTATGAGGGAAAAAGAATCTCATTGATACTTTGTTGGCCCTCATTAATCAACATATTTATACTATGAGTGTATTAGTGAATTGTCTGTTTATGATTGTTCTTCAAGTTTAGTTCATGAATGTTGAGTCATTTTTGGTTCCCTCAGTGTTATTTACAATTCAAGTCAATACCAATATAGTGAAACGTTGCCCTTATTCACCTGGTAAAAAGCCTGGTCTTTTCCCAAGTTCTCTTTGTCTTATGTTTCTTAAGACTTTTCATGGCACTTTTTAGTTTATCACTCAGGTGTTTGTTAATACAGATATTGAGCATATTTCTGTAATACAAGAGGGTGTGGTATTCTAATGTGACTTAATTTTCACGTGTATATGAGAATTCCTTAATATCAGCAGGTTTGAACAGAAAATTTAGAGTAATTGTAATTGAAAACTTAACTGAGTTTTATACCTCTACCAGAAATTAAGGACACTGGACACTCAGAATATAGTTCCACAGCTTTCCATCTCTGGAGACTGATGTCTTTATAACTATATTCAAATATGAACTGGGTTCAACTGAGAAAGAATTAATGCTTCAATCCTGCAAGAAAACTTGTACCCTTTCTCTTTTGATGGCTTCATGATATTTATGGTTTCCCACATCAACATGTACATCCACAAATAATATTTTGAGATGTTAGAGACATGACATCGATCCTGCAATGGATGTCTCATAGTTTCCGTAATGATAAGGGTACACCATATTCTTGATTTTAACATTCTTTTATTCCTTTACTCAGTGTTCCCATTGCAATGATGTTGCATTCGAAGAACCATCTGACTCTTTTTACTTCTTCTCAGATGTCTACTGATTCAACTGCTTGCATGAATTTCTACACTTGACAGTTTTGGATGATGGGTATTTTCAGTTCAGACATATGTCTACTCTGTAATTACTGTTCTTCTCCATTGAGAGCATTCTTCTACCAGGTAAAGGAAAATGCTTTGCACTGTTACCTTGGCTACCTGTTTAATCATCATTTTGTACTAGAACTGATAATGTGTCTGACAGTCCAGGTATATTTTCAGAACCTGCCCTTTGCTGGAAGTCAGTTCTTTTTCATGCACTTATATGGCAAGTAAGAAGTTATAGAAGAAGCCTATTCTTATAAATATATTGTGTGAACTTTGATTATCATTTATTTTAAACATAAATTATATTGAATCTTGTTATAGACTAACCAACATGATTTGTACTTCTAGCTCCAGGAAAAGTTGATTCCTTGGAAGAAAGTTTTCTACATACTGTTTTGAAGTTTGGTAAAATAAAAGAAAACAAAGAAACAAATTGTGATGTAACATCAGAGAAATGTGAGGTAATTAAACTTTTTACAGTTGTGTTATTAAAGAAAATGTGTATCTGTAATTATGTCTTTCTGGAATTTATTCGTTTGGCATATAATCAGTAATGACATATTTGTAGTCACGAGCTGAAGAAATTCACTACAAGTTTGCTGCATTGTTGTGAATAAACTTATTAAAGCTCTTTTTACAGTAGTACTATTGCTAGTCCAGAAGTATTGTAGTGCACACCAGAATGTAAACATGATTTAACAAAATCATGTAATAGATAGAACAATTGCCAAGTTTTTATATTTTGATTTAAAGTAGAATGAAGTTTTGAGCTTGCTCTCCATCAGATTATACAGCTTACAACATGCACAGAATTCAAAGAAATTGCATATATAATATTTGGAATGTTGAAAATGAAATGTTTGTACAAAATTACATCTGTTTCATAAAAATAATAAGTCATTAAAAGAAAAAGCAAATAAAATTTAAACAAAAAATGGTAAAATCTACAAGAAAGATCAACAAACAGATCTGTGGAGTCACTATAGGGACTAAAATGGTCCCCACCTTTGCAAATCTCTTTATTGCATACACCAAAAATCTTATATTTATGGATTACATCCATGCCTAAATATGGTTTAAAAACTTTTCTGGACTTTGTTTCCTCTTGCCACCTCTCTGTGAAATTTACTTGGGAATATCCAACACAACACTCCCCTTTCTGGACATTAACATATACCGACAAGGTGACCATCTGACCACTAGTACACGATACAAAGAAACACATTCACACACATACTTACTTTAACCAATACATGCAAGATGACCATCTTACCACTGGTATATATTACAAAAAAACATATTCACACACATACCTACTTTAACCTATACATACAAGATGACCATCTGACCACTGATATACGTTACAAAGAAATATATTAACACACAAACATACATTTCGAATCTTCCCACTCGTACAGTATCCAAAAGTCAATTCCTTAAAATTTCTATGACTATATAAACTACATAGTGATGATAATCATTATAAATCAGGATCCAAAGTGAAAACTTGTTTTTTTAAAAGGCTCTACCTTGATTTTATCATCCATGATGCAGCCACCTAAGCTAGCTCATAAACCCAGGAGAAAACACTTAACCCTACCAAGAAATAATGAACCGATCATATTCCGTATGTGTTAACATACCATCAGACCAACAAGAAGATCAAAGATAATATACTAAACAATCACACAATACTTAATGAAGACCCTACCACTAAATCTCTTTTCAAGGATACACCCATTATTTCTTAAAAGTATGAAAACAACTTGAAAAAATCATGATGCAGAATAATGACAAACAAAAGGAACAGGAGTCGTGAAGATAATGTAACACCTTTTATTAGTTGTGTAGTTTGTAATATCAATAAAAATAAAAGTAAAGGAATTGGGTATACTGAAACATCTGATAAGCCTGGTCATTTGTTCAGCATTTAGACCCACCTATCATTATCAGAAAAATCACTGTTTTGTTTGTATTCTGGGGCTTACAAGAAGTGTATGGAGTAAGATGTACTTTTAAATGAAAAATATATTGAAAAAACTGATAGACTCATAAAACATTGGTGATATTGGTAGAAGTAAGGTAAATCTGATCACCCTTTTAGTATTAAAATGTAAAGGAAATGTCATGGTTTCCTAGTCAGGAATCATTGGATCATGGCTAATACAACAGAGAATACGTTTTGTAATCAGAAGTAAAATCCAAGATATTAGGTTCTTGTTATAAACAGCTGATGAGGTTCTCATACGTAACTAGTAGAAAGTAAGTTATATGGAAACACCTGTGGACTAGCAATATTGTATTATGAAGACAAACAGCCAGTAACCAATAAATATTCTTCAATTCCTCAACGTGAGAACTTGTATCTTTATCGAGAGGTCGACACCATACAGAACAGTTAAATCCAGTCTTAACAGAACAAAACAGATGGTATAATTTGAAATAACAACAATGAATTATCAGATATCATCTGTTATACAGTTATGTTATCAACAATGAAAAAAGCAAAAAGTAATAAATGTCACAAGAAAATAATAGTGGTGAAGAAAATAATCAAATACCAAAAAAAATCACTCATGTGAATATTCCAGCCTAATAAACATTCATATATAAATATACAAAGATCCACCATTTAAAGTGGTACATCTTTATCCCTGTCAATTGAAGCCTTCTCTTAATATATACTGTAAATATTAATGAGGTGGGGCTCTTGAATAGATTTAATATAAGATACGGAATGAAACATGAATGGTGATGCTCTGTTTGTCTGATAGCTGTACTTCTTCACTTCAGCAGACGAGTTTCCACTGTGGAAAGCTCCTTTGTAATGCTTTAATGTTCTGTCCTGCATTCCTTCCATAATACATATAGTTTACCAGCACCCATTTCAATAGTAGCCACTGCAGCTCCCACATACCCCATATTTAACATGGTTCATCTGTATCTCACATGTAAATCATCCTGCAACACACCCTTCTGGCGCATGCGACTCCCTCTATTTGATTCTACTGACATATCACTTTTCATTTAGTAGTGTTACTGTCAGGATATAAAACACTGTTTGGTTTAATTATTAATGATTAATTTATATTTTTGAGTGAATACTTTATTATTTTTAAGTTTTGTACTAATGAGAGTTAAAAGCAGATGATTGAAGAAGGTTTTGTTAAAAACTAATTGGTGTCGAGAATATAGAAAGTAGCCAGACGACTATGTAATAAAGATATAAATAGTGTGAGATGAGCGGGAAGCAGCAGACAGACAGTATTAGGCAGAAAAAAGCAAAAAGAATATAGTTGTGTGAAGTCAAGTAACGTAAATGTTATAGGTCTAATGTTTAATATGTATATGAGAGTGAAACTAATATTGTGATAGTATTAGAGAAAAAAGTTTGGTTTTTCAACCAAGATTCTAAAGTAATTGAACAGGCCTTAGTGGACTTTTGACAAGAAGAGGAGAACTATATATATACTGACATAACGTTTACGATATGCTTATAATCTCCGTACTGTGAATACGTTATTGTACATACATTTAAGAACTTGTTTCAAATTTATCGTTAACAAGTCACAGACACCTTCTGTAGAAGAATCCT